CTCTCTCTCTCTCTCTGTTGGGGATTGAACCCAAGGCCTTCTGTGTGCTAAGCGTATGCCTCCTATAAAATTACTGTAGGGGCCGGGGATTTAGCTCAGTGGTTTCACCGCCTGCTGCGCAAGCGCAAGGACTGGAGTTCTATCCCCGGTACCAAATAAATAAATAAATAAATAAATATAAATAAAATTACTGTAATTAAAAATCAGTTCAGTAAAATTTTAGGAAATAAAATAATCTACTGATAGTTCAGCAAGACTTCTGCTCACTCTCATAGAATCCCAAAACTATTAAAATAAGTATCTAAAACACCTCATTGTGGAACCCAAAATTTTAACAGAAATGTAGAACAGAAAATAATATGTGTAAATATTCATTTATGTTTTTAAATGTACGCGTATTTTTGTAAAAGATGAGGGCATGCTATAGTAATTAAAACAATTTAATTTTGGCTTCAGAGTAGACAAATAGTCAAATGAAATAAAGTATAGAATTTTTAAATGTTTCTTTTATATTACCATTTCTTAGCATTCTTTCCTTAGAGACATCCTTTAACTCTTTTGAGCCTTAGTTTTCCCAGTGGTTTTTTTTTTTTTTTTTGGTACTGGGGATCGAACTCAGGACCTTGCACTTGCGAGGCAGGCGGCAGAACCACTGAGCTAAATCCCCCACTCCAGTGTTTTGTTTTGTTCCCTTGAAATTTGTTTAGGCACATTAAATTAAAATGTTTGAAAAATCAGTTTCCTTGTTTTCATTTCCCAATACTTAATATCTGTCCTCTTAAAATAATTTTCATGCAGTAATTACATTAAAGGATTATATTTCACATTTAGACTTCAAAAAAAGCAACACCTCTTCCTCCTGTATTGAGATTGACCATAAGGCCTGGCACATGCTAGGCAAGCACTCTTCCACTGAGCTATATCCACAACCCAAAAAGAGCTTTTCTTGCTCTAACTAAAGCCTGCAGATATAAATTTGACCTTAGCAGTTTAAGCAAGGTAATTTATGTAGTAGCAACTTTTTTTGTGGGAATATTGAGGATCAAACACAAGGCCTTTGCAGTGAGCTACATCTGCCACCATCCCCCTATATTTTTAATAACTAAAATTTACATACATCTTGGGGAATTGGTACATATACATATCACATCTTGATTCTTTTTACTTCTTCCTCCCCCTCTTCTCCCTCCCACCTTTCCCTATCCCCAGGTCCCCTTCCTAGCTCCATAAAGTCTATCTCCTTGTTTATATTTTATTTTGTTCTTTACTTAAACTTTCATATAAGAGAAATCATGAGGTATTTAACCTTCAGTGTCTGATTTCCTTCACTTAGCATTATCGTCTCAAGGTGCACCTATTTTCCCATGAATGACTCAGTTTTATCCTCTTGAGTAGTACTTCGTTGTGTATATATACCTATAGCCCCTTGTTTGGCTAAATCTTAATTGCCCAAACTGGGCTCACTCAAACTTGTGATCCTTCTGCCTCAGCCTCCGAAGAGTGCTGGGATTATAGGGTTGTACCACAATACCTGGCTAGTAATATCAACTTAACTTTAGGGCCATTTCAGGTAGTTGCATGTGCTTAAAACTTAGCTATTCAGAACAGCTCCAAACTCTCTTTACCTTTAGAATCAAATTGGTTGGACTTTTCCTGACAGCTTATTTTCTCTAACAGTTCAGGTGACCAGATGTCCTCTTAGACCCTGAGGTAAAGTAAATCATGCAGATTTAGCATTTGCTTTTTAAAAAAATTATTATTTATAGCTTTATGAGATATAATTCACATACTGTAAAGTTAACTCCTTTAAAGTACAGTTTAGTGGGGGTTTTTTGTGTGTAACTGTTACCACTATCTATCACACCAAAAGATACCCCAGATCCTTTAGCAATTGCTCTTCTTATCCCCAATCCCTGTCATCTACCTATCTACTTTCTGTCCTAGATTTACCTATTTCGGGCTTTTCATATAAATGGAATTATACAGTATGTGGTCTTTTGTGACTGCCTTTTTGTATTAACAATGTTTTATTCATCCATGAATCCATGCCACATTCCTTTTTATGGCCTAATTATATTTCACTGTAGGTATAATATTCCATTTTGTTTATCCATTCTTCAATTGATGGACTTTTTTTTTCTACTTTTGGGCTATTTTGAAAAATGCTTATGAACATTGGAGTATATGGCTTTATATGGGGAGATTTTCATTTCAATATGTGCTTGGGAGTGGAATTTCTGGGTTATATGGTAACTATATGCTGACCTTTTGAAGAAATTGTCAAACTATTTTCCAAAGTGGCTGTACCATTTTCCATTCTCATCAGCAATATGTAATGGTTCCAATTTCTCTGCTCCTCACCAACATTTGTTATTTTCCTTTTTTGTTTGTTTTATTATAGCTATCCTAAGGGATATGAAATGGTGTCTCTTTGTAGTTTTGATTTGCATTTCCCTAATGATTAATGATACCAGACATCTTTTCATGTGCTTATTAGCCATTAATATATATCCTCTGGGGCCAGGGATTTAGGTCAGTGGTTCCGGCACCTGCCTCACAAGCACAAGGTCCTAAATTTGATCCCTGGTACCACACACACACACAAAATATATATATATATATATTTTTTTTTTTTTTTTTTTCTCTGCAGGATTCAAATGCTTTGTCTGTTTTTTGGGGGTTTTTTTTGCTTTGTCCATTTTTAAATTGGGTTATTTGTCTTCTTACTGACCGTTAGTCTTATTAAACTTTTTTTAGTCTCTTTGGTGTGGCTTTTTCATTCAGTTGAAATTGGGCCTGTTTGATTAAAGCAGATCTTCATGGTGCCATTTTTTCATGAGGATATAGTTGACACAGTGGTTCTCTTTTAGCCCAACAAATCAGTAAATGCTTAAATTCCTTCTGGATCCCATTCCAAATTAGTCACTGTGTGGGCTGGTAAATATGAGCCTTTAAGACAGTGATGGCAAACCTATGGCATGTGTGCCACAGCAGGCTGTTTGTTATCACTGAAAGCTTTAAAAAGTTCACTGCTTTAGGAGCTTCCTGTCAAGTTAGGAGAAATGGTGGAGAGGGGGAAAGCATCCAGAAAATGGTAGATGGTGCTATGTTACTGCTTGAACCCTGATGTACACCCTTCATAATCAGAGAGAAAGCACCATCGTGAAGCAGGGCAGGTCTTGAGTAATATTTGTGTACGTGGCTAGATGGAGGAAAGGTGTATGGTAAACATGAAAAAGAGATTTGAGGAAGATCATTTTGTTGTTGTGCAGAATGGAACAGTAGAAAATAAAGAAATAAAGAATATAGTTTAGGACAGTTATGGTGAACCTTTTAGAGCTTTCAATGATACAAACTGCCCGCTGTGGTACGTGTGCCATAGGTTTGCCACCACTGGTTTAGCCTGTAACTCAAGTCACGTGTGACAAGGATCTGGCCTACTAGGGTGATGGGAATAAGAAAAGGAAACAAACCCAAGCCCACACCTATAATCCCAACACTCAGGAGGCTGAGGCAAGAGGATTGCTTTGAGTTCCAGGCCAGACTAAACTACATAGCAAGTCTCTGTCTCAAACAAACAAACAAACTCAAGAAACACAGTGCTAGAATTTATGTTCTAAAGTAGGGAAGAGAATATGATGTCAAAAAAACAAAAAAGAAAATATGTCGTCAACAATAGCAGCTAACAGATAGTGCTTGATATTTCTAGCTCATTTAATTTTCATAATAGCTGTATAAGGTAGGTAGTTTTGTTATTTCCTATTTACAAATGAGGAAACAGATATTCAGTAACTTTCCAGGGAGCACCCAGACGTGGTCTAGCTAGAATTCAAAGCTAAAACCTAAAGCCCACGGTCTCCATCACTACCCTATCTTGTGTTAAGGAAAGAAGCCAAAGTATCTGCAAGTTTCAGAGCCAGTGCATGGGAAGAGAGCGATGGAGCTGTGTTGGTGTGTCCTCCTGAATGTAAAGTTTCTTGTAAATGTTGGTGACTCATGATGTTAGTAATCATACCCTACAGTTGCCCTTTTGATAATCTGTATTGAAAAAATCTTCATGCAAAAGTTGCTGTTTTAAAAACACTTTCTAGGGCCGGGGATTTAGCTCAGTGGTTTTTCCGCCTGCTGTGCAAGTGCAAGGACCTGAGTTCGATCCCCGGTACCAAAAAAAAAACCCACTTTCTAAAACGAGGTTTGATGGACTGAGGATATACGTCAGTGGTAGACCAGTTGACTAGCACACACATGGCCCTGGTTTCAATCCCTAGTACCTGAGAGGGTGGGGGGAGATTTAGTTTTAAATTTATGAAGATATTTTGGTAATAGTTTCTTTGAACAATTTGTATTCAAAAAAAAGGATATGATTTTTATGTTTAGACCTTAAAATTTAAACTTTGAAAATTAGTCTTCAGGATCATTAAACAGCATAATGTTGTTTCCACAGTCCTCGCATCTAGCTTGGTATATAATATTTCGGATGGTCAGTTCACAAGTCGTGCAGACCTCATAGATGCTGCTGGAAGCTCCCTGGGGCGTGGTGCTCTTGTCCCAGGATTGGGTAAGAAATATGTGCACACATTTCCTTGAAAGATTCAAAGTTATAACAATTTATTTTGAAAAACCTTGCCAATTCCCTGTGGCATTATAGTTTTCTTTAAAATAAATAATTTTTTAATACTATTCTTTAAAGTTGGGGAATCACTATAGGAAATTGCCACATGTAAAATTCTCTGCATGAACTGCCATTGGAAATGCTGTCCATAGGTCCTATGATGATGCCTATAACAGAGTCCCAAAATTGATGTCATAAGAAGGTTTACTCCTGTGAAGAATATGTTTGCTGGAAAATGAACATGATGTAATATATTGGCTTTTCACTTTGCCCTGGCTGCTAGGAAAATCCTATCTTAAAGTTTTAGGCTCAGTTATTAAGGCTTTTATTGTGTGTTAATGTTAGTTGGTCCTATTGTTACCACTTAAATCTCTTTTGGAAGTAGTTCACAGTTAAGTCAGTTGTGAAGAAGTGTCTGTTTTGTGAGACTTATTCCTTCTTACGTAGGAGTTAAGCAAACTTGAATGGCTTCTTGCTGAACCCATCTAGTGCTTTGCCAGGTAAACCTATAGGAATAGTGACATGACTGTGAGCATGAGACTCTTTGCCCTTCCTAATTACTAATAGATAGGATGTTTCAGCAGTACCTGTGAGAAATACATACACAGTGGCAACACGATGGTTGAATGCAGTGCACTCTTTGCAGGTGCCTGTTACGATACGGTGAACAACATGCTATGGACGTGCTCCAATGATTACATTGACCAGTGGTGTAATCCTGGGAATCAAGCCTTCCATTATGTGTGCCAGAGACTGGGAGTCAGCCACATCATCACTGAGCCCAAAGGTGAGGCGTGCTGTTGCTCCTGCAGTGCGAGAGGCTGCCGCAGCATAAGTAGGTGGGAACACAGACAACACTGAATCATATCAATAGCCTTTCATCTTCGAACTTAGGAGCCTAAAGTCCTTTATCTATGACTCCAATAGTTGGTTTATGATTAAGTATGAAAATTTGGGGTTATCTTTTGAGTCTTTCTCTCACATCTAATCCAGATGGATATCAAGTGCTGTCAGCTCCTACTTTCAAAACATCCCAAATCCAGCCATTCTCCACAACTGCTGCCACCACTGCTGTCATCATCTTCACCTGTGTCACTGTGGCAGCCTCCTCCCTGGTGGTTGTTCTTCCACCCACTTAGGCTCATCTCTGCTTAGCAGCCAACAAGTCTTCTCCACCTGGCTAGTTAGAGCTGCCACTCCTCTGCCCAGATATCTCCACTGGTCCTGGGTAACTCAGAATCAGAACACAAAGAGCTCATTTATTTCAGTAGGTCCCAAACCTGGCTTTGAAAAAGTCTTTGGAAAAGACAAACATTTCCTTCCCTGCATTTCATTGTTGAGACTGAAGCCCCAAAAGGCACAGAAGAGAATGAAACTCAGGCTGCCCTTAGGGTTAATATGCAGTCAAAAAGTTCTGTTTTGACCACTTTCTCTTCAGTTTTCTGGAATGCTGTTCCCAATGCCCACGGTCCTTTTGTAGCTCAGAGGTCCCCCATCCAGGCCTGTTTCTGCATGATGGCCTATGTTCCCATGTCTTTTAGGTAGTTCATTTCAGCTGGATTAAGGAGAAAAGCAGGGACCAGGAATTTAGCTCAGTGGTTGTGCCGCCTGTCTGGCAAGCACAAGGACCTGAGTTTGATCCCTGGTACCAAAAAAAAAGAGAAAAGCAATCTTTTTATATTTTGCCTATTTGGATCTTTGCCTCCATTCTCTGAATGCCTGTAATCATCCGTGAAGTATTTATTATTAGATAAGAGGATGCTTGTCAACCCCCACAGGTTTGATTGATTGATGTATAGGTCAGATGACTAAATAGAATAAAAATGTGAGTAGAGTGGAGGAAATGTTTATGGATGAGGGGCAGCTGTGGAAAACAGTTACTTTACTAGAATGGTTACTAGCATGGGTTAAGATGGCCAAAGTTCAGTTCCCAGCTTTACCACTTTATAGCTGTGTAACTTAGGGTGAATTACTTAGCCTCTCTAACTTTTGTTTTACTGCTCTGTAAAACAGTGCTAAAATAGTCTAAATTTATATCCATGTTGTAAGGTAATGCATTAAAGCATTTGGCTCATTGTCTAGTGTACAGAACAGGCTCAATAAGTGGCAACTACTTATGTTCTAGAAAAATGGAAATTCTCAAGTGCTTGCACCCCCACACTCTGTGGCAGGGAGAAGGGTCCTCCAGCAGCAGTAGGAGAGATAGGAGCCAAGCTGGTCTGCACCTTTTATAAATTGGAGATCTGCCCCTCATGGGCCACCCATGGAGTGTCTTTCCTCACTGGGTTCCTTTCCATTTTTTAGAAGAGGCTATAACCACGAATGAGGTTATCAACCAGTTACTGCACCACGTTGGTGCGATGTGCATACACCAGCTCAATCTTCTGGCCACCAACCCCAACCTTCCCATCACAAGTGTCTTGGGCAAGCAGCATCCAATTGAAGCCCACCATCTGAGCAGCATTTGTGACATCATGGAGAAGGCCATGGTTAATGGAGATACCTGCATCATACGCTGCATTCTGGTTGTCTTTCAGGTAAATAATACACTGTGGTGAGGTAAGTAAGATGCTAGAGAGAAAGAAACATAAACCTTGGCTTCAGCCAGCTAATGTCCACCAGAAGAAAAATTCAGTAACATTCTCATTTGCATCTTACCACCTTCCAGTCCTATAATTAGAATTATCATCATATTCACAGCACTGCAATTAATGGGGTATTGCTATTTGTAGCTCATTGCAATTAATGTATGTAAAATATTTACTATAATTATACCACTACACAAGGGAAGAGATTGTGCTTAAAAACTTACCTGGTTATCTATTGATAAGAATATATACCATGTGCTTTCTTCACGGGGGTGAGGATAATTTTATCCCTGGCAAAATTAGCATTTTTAGATATGCTCCTATGTTTCTGTAGGTGGTGTTTAAATTTTTCTTCAGCCCACAAACTGAAAGAAACAGAGACATCATTCGACGGTCGGGATTGCTTCTTTGGCAGTTGCTGATGGCACCAAAGGATCAAATCTGCCCTGAAATTCAGAAGGAAGTCTGCCTTGCCATCAGGTAAACAGCAAATGATTTTCTTAGTGCTCTCTGCAGAGTGATTCTCCTGCAAGGCACTGTATTATTCTCTGAAAAAGGGTAGCATATGTCTCTTAGCCCATCCTGCATCCAGGACCCTGTGCACTGGGGATAATTAATAGAAAAGGGTTGTGCCTTGAACTTTAGGGGGCCAAAAGGTAAATGAAGTGCCTACCTTTCTTCATCCTGTAAAGCCAAACCCTACAAGTGACTAGTTTGTTTGCAAACACATGTCCTCTTCTGGGGGAGTGGGACAGGGCAGTCAGGAGCAGGATCTGCTATCTGGCAGCCCTGGGTTCTAGTCTGCTCTGTACCTATTCACTGTAGCCTTGGTTTGAGTCTTCCATTTCCTTGGGTGTGAGATGGTCTTAAAAATAGCACCTGCCATATAAATTTGTGAGGTTGTCCAGAGAAAGCCCAATGCAAGGTAGTGCTCAACTGTGTTTTCCTTTAGACTCACAACTCACATGTGAATTTAGGGGCCATTCTCTATTTATTATCACTTATTTGAATTTAGTTTAGTGAACTTTAATCCAGGAGTATAGCCTTAATATGACTTAAGTATATTCAAGTGACCCAGAGAGAACTGGGTGGTTGATCTGAAAGACTCAGCTGGCAAGGGTGAGCATAGAGGGCAGGAAACTTTCCTCCTTCTTCAGTAGCTTCCATTTTGGGTTGCTTTCTGTTGACCATTAAGGCAGTAATTAAAATCTGGTGTCGGGCCGGGGATTTAGCTCAGTGGTTCTGCTGCCTGCCTCGCAAGCGCAAGGACCCAAGTTTGATCCCCAGTACCCAATAAATGAATAAATAAATAAATAAAAAATCTGATGTCATGAGGAAACTTCTGCAGATGATGGGTATATGTATATACACTGTCTTCATTATAGGAATGATTTTATAGGTGCGTACATTAGTCAGCCCTCTTACATTGTACACTTTCAGTGGTGCATTTATTGCATGTCAAATCTCAGTAAAAAGATAAAATTTTTTGAAAAATTCTGGCACTGTTTGCCATCCTATTCTTGCTTTTTTGGAAAAGATGAGAATTAGAAATTCCCTTTCTCAAGTGATTTTTTGGGGGCACCATCTGTACTACAACTGGCTTTACTGACTTCTCATAGCTTACTGAGTCTCTTAACCCTGTGGTCTTGAAGTTATCACTTTGGTAATTCTGACAGAAGCAGAGTGATCCTTTATCAGGGAAGCAGCTGGACTAAATCATGACAGTGAGTTTAGGTTCAAATGCTTTTTTAGCGATAAAACTTACTTCTGTTTTATGTAATCAAACTGGCATCTTAGTGAAAATTAAAATCTAAATATTTAGAGTTTGGATTTTCTAGAATATTTATTTTAAAAGTTTTTGACTTTTCTGTCATTTCAGCTCTGGTTTAAATATCTTGTACCCAGGTGAAACTGAAATCAATAACTTACTTAAACTGGTCTTAACAGAAGGTAAGAATTATCCTTTAATTAAATTACCATCTTTTAGGGCTGGGGATTTAGTTCAGTGGTTCCGCTGCCTGCCTTGCAAGCAGAAGGCCCCAAGTTTGATCCCCCGTACAAAAGAAAAAATTACCATCTTTTGGGCTGGGGATTTAGCTCAGTGGTGCCACACCTGCCTCGCAAACACAAAGTCCTGAGTTTGATCCCTGATACCAAAAAAAAAAAATTTACCATCTTTTTTCTTTAAGGAGACAGCTGAATATCAATAGATTCTTATCTCTTATTCAATATATTACATGGGTTCATTTCAACCAGATTGAGAGCAGAAACCATGTTTTATTTATCTTCAAGCCTTATAAGCCTCTTTGTACAGTATTTCTAATACTTAATCTAATGTGCCTGACCCTAGATGTTTAACACATGTTTAAAAATAATGACTTCACCAGGTGTAATAGTGCACACCCAGCACTTGGGAGGGTGAGGCAGGAGGAGCGCCAGAAATTCAAGGCCAGCCTGGGTTACATAGGGAGTTCAAGGCCAGCCTGAACTACATAGTGAGACCGTGTCACAAAAAATTTGAAAAAAAAAAAAAAAAAGGACCTCTTGGTGATCTCTAAGTTTTTTTCCACACATT